GACGCAAAAAACAGAACAGTGGAGAAGGTATCAGTGGTGAGAAGAAACGCGACGAAACAATAGCTCACCAAAGCATCATTGCCCCTGTAGCTCCATTTCTTTTCGGAAAATCCTCAGTCAACACAATCCCGTCATTATGCGCTCTTGGAGAAAGCTACGGCTTTTTAGTGGTCATGTCTACGAAGAATGAAAATTACGTATTGTTGGGAAGCCAAGCAATGAGAAGTATTATGGCTATTATGCGTCTAAGTGCGCTTCCAAACTCCACTGCTGCCGCATTATTATACAGTGCATAATTGGTTGCTCGGAACTGAATCCGTCGACCGTTCAACGATTGCGTCGGACGTTGGTTCTCGCCAGTTTTGAGCGATCCGAAAACTACTTCGCGGAATGCTTGCATCTGCAAGAATGCTTGCATCTGTCATACACAAAAGAGACAACAATTTTACTGAGACGTATTTAACATGTCGATACTTTTCCGCCACTTGTTTCCCCCACCCTCTATCTTTTTTTGCTCTGTAATACTTCCAGCTTGCACACGACAGCTGTACCTCATGAATATTTAGGAAATCCGAGCAGTTGCGTTTGTTCACGCATATACCACACAATGACACGCAATCACTAATGTTTCCTCAAGAATTTCTCCGAAAAGTCGCAGGAAAATGGATCTTCAACAAATGTCTCGAATCCTAAACTAGCAGCCGGTGTGCTTAAACCAGAAATCTTCAAAATTCAGGTGATCAAATCTGAGGGGAATAAGAGAAGTGTACAAGTAAAAAAGTTAAACTGACGAAATTGGGGCTTACTTGAGGCAGAGTGGCTGAAATGGGATCCGCCATCACTATCCATACGACACTCTCATCACAGCTAGGCGTCGTCAGTGATCCTTCGTACCTGTAAAAATTCTCCGGATGCGATGGGATGAACGAATGGACGCTGAAGCCGTGCACTGCTTTCTCGGATTCTGCAACACAGTGTCTTGTTCAACCATAAAAACTGTGGAAAAGTGCATCAGTGACACTTTCAAGGACTGCCTTCATATTTGTTTGGCCTCATAAAAATGTTTCAAGCATTCCTACTTCATTTCTTGCTTTCCGCCCTCTCATTAGCAGCAATGCAAAGGTTACTAGTTCACCACTGATTCATTAATGGTATGTGGTAGACAACTTTCTTTTTCATTTCATGATTTTTTGCACCAATGTTGCATCATACGATGGTCAGCCTTCTGAAAAAATGAAACGGAACTTGAATTTTGTTCTTTGGATGGTATGCCGAAAAATCGCTGGTCTGGTGACGGTAATGCTCATCAGGTAATGAATAGCCCCTATTTGACACATAGATAAGAATAGCAATCGAAAAGCTGCTGACCTGGATTCTTCACGTTGATTATGTATGGTCTCAAATTTTGCAGAGGTTCCGCATTATTGCCAAGCGCCAGAAAGACACCAACCACAGCAATAGTATTCTCCTCATCCGGCTCTACATCTTTTTTCGCATGAACTAAGTGCAGCTGAAAAAAAATGTTAGAAACGATTGTGAATCACTTGTCTCAGTGCAAAAAAGAGAGATGTTCCTTTACTGCATTTTGATTTCTTCAGATTTTCTGCTTAAACATTGATGGTATACTGATAAGGCTTCGCAGCAACCTGTTGCTCCACCTCCAGCTGGAATTTAAAACGAAAATAT